AATAATATATCCTCAAATCTCTATTATTGTCAAAGGACGGCTGGTGCAAAATAAATAGGATAATATTATTTTCTTTTGTGGACTGTTCCGATTTATTTTCAAAAATTCATTTCTATAGAGAATCCGTGATTCTACAAAACTATTTCGTTTGTTTTTTAAATGAAGTTTTATTCTTGGAAAAAAATTTAAAATATGAACACCTAGTCAATCGTCTAACTGCGATTTGTCCACAAAGATTAATCTATAAAATAACACAGTTAGCATCCATTAAAGGAGAATTTTTTTTTTCTTTTCGCTTCGACGGTCATTTTAAGATGCATAGTGCTATCATTCATAAGAAAAAAGTTCAGAATGAAAACGTACTGATAATTTTTCTATGCATGTTGGAGAAAACATGTTTTTCAAAGTGTGCCTCAGTCTATGAAATAATTATTCTCTTGCGGTGTCAAACGTGAAATTTAATTCTAAATAAAATTTTGTCACTGTCCATTTGAAGAGTACAAATCATTAGATTGTATTGAAATAAAAAAAGAACCATCATGCAAATCTGTCAGACAAAACTCGTTTGAAAATCTTTCTCTTACAAGATAAATTTATTTGAAAAATAAACGAAACAGCTTTGAAGAGCAAAAGATTGAATATCCAAAACAAAAATAGAAAATAATGTTTTCCTGTTTAAGTTGCGTCATCTGCTAGATTTTTATCGATTTAGTCTACATAAAGCATGAATGAGAAAATTTTTCAAAAGATATCATATCTTTGAAAATAAGATAGACAATAACAAAAAAGAATGTCTTCATATAAAAACTTAGAATGGTCGATTAACAGTAAACAATAATTTGTTTTAATTTTCATACTTTTGTTGATAAAAACTAATTGTATATAGTTTTACTAAATTAATATTTCAAACGAAATTGTATACTGGCAAAAGTTGTCCATCTCTTTTGTTTTTCTTAGTTTGATTAAAACTTTATAATTTTTCTATTTTTGAACTTCGATATTTTATTTAATTAGCAAAATATAATGCATAAGTATATACATTTATGTATGACTAAATGAATGAGGATGATTATTTTCTGTTCCATCATTAGATGATGATGTTATTGAAATTTCTGTAAGTTCAGCAATACAATGTTGTTCATCATCAAATTGACGTTTGGGATTAATACGATTATTTCGTACTAATGAATATATATTTGATGGACATTTATTATTTGATTTTATATTTGAATTTATTGTATCATTGGTATTGTTTGTATTTGAACGAGTTTTTGATTTTTGATCAATATATTCAGATATTGTTTTTCGAAATAAAGCTATGATATTTTCTGGTGTTGATGGTTTTATGGGAGCACGTATATGACGTCGAAATTGATTGATAATCAATGTACAATCTTCAGCTAATACATTAAGTATTAATTCACTTAACTCCATTTTAATTATATCAGGTAGATGATATAATTCACTTGTCGATTGTAATAAATTATTGCTTGGTGTTAACCATGAATAAT